GCCAATGCTATTAAATTTTCCTTGAACTTTTCTTTGCCTAGAGTGAGCTAAATACCATGTGTGAGCTAATTTTTTTACTCCATCTTTTTCAAAATCTGATATTTTTTTTTTACCATGAAGAATTCGGTTGATTTCTGTAATATAGTGGTTAATCATCATCTTAACAACCATCCCAATCATTTTTGTTTGAAAAAATTCTTCATGATCTTGGCAATGAAGTATATTGTTAAAGTTATAAAGTGAGGAAATTTTGTTTGTAAACTTTAAATAAATATTTTCATGGTGACATATTTTAGATATATTTTGTCCAATATAATTTAATATATGTTCAATAGTTCTTTTAAATGTAATCGAAGGATATTTAAGTGATTTTTGATGTACTTGATATTCTCGAGCATCTATGAGTTGGTGGTCTTCAGAATTTCTACTAGTACATATTTGACTAAGACACTGCTTACAATTTTTAAAGAAGTCTTTATTCAATTTTTTTATAATAAATCCAGCGATATATGAATGTGTTTGGTCCCGAAGATAAGATGTAGGATTTGGTAGTTGGTGAATTGTTAATGGAAGGTCAGCAGCTATGATTTTATCACTGGGTGGACTAGGTGTTTTTGAAAACAGAAATAAATTTTTGAAATGAGCCAAGCTTCCTTCTGCAAAATCTTCCTCACAATTTGACCCTGGTGAATGCGAAGATACCAAATTATTAAGAACTAATGTTTTGTAGGCGGAAGTGAACGCATTGCAATTAGGATTTGTTGATCCGACGTTCCTAATTGCTCCAAAAAAACATTCAAGCGAATCTTGGTTGAGGTTACGTGGTAGTAATGATTTGATCCCCACTGAACCCAACACTTTGTACAATGTCTGAAACGCTGAAATAATACATTTATTTATGATACTGTGAATGATTAAAAAAACTAATTCAGAAGCACAAACCTCTAATTGTAGTCATCCAATTGCGTATTGTTGGAACAGACACATTTTTTCCATTTCTTCTTACAAATCTCATACTATCGAGAACTTTTATACTGTCTGCCCAGAGTTGATGATGGGGTGAATTTTTTTTAACAGATGTTCTATAAATTTTCCCATCTACAACCTTATCAAAATTGCCATTTAATGAATCAAAAAGATTATCAAAAAACAAACACAGAGATGCAGTGTGTTGAGCATCTGAACTGATAATATTACGAGCTGTAAAAATTAAAACATATTATTTGTAATAATTTATTATTATTGATCACAAATTTTGCTAAAAATTAATTTCATTGAACATTTTTTCAATATGAAAAAGTGTTAAATATGGAAATCGTTTATATTGTAAACATCATTCTTACATGCTAAGAAGTTCATTGTTGAAGACACTCTTTGGGAAAAAACTTGTGTGGCATTCTTAACTTTCATTTTCAAAATTTTGTCAGGTATAATATGCTGGTCGGTAAGACGTGGCAACATTTTGCAGTCAGGAATAGCATTATCTACATTATATAAATCAACCATATGTGACCATTTTGCACATTTCACATCGTTATTAATGGTGAAAACTAAATCCTTTGTAATTAAATTGTTCCTGATACATTTTATTAAATGGGGAACGTCATAGATGTGTACTAGTTTTAATCGTTCATTATTCTCCAATTCAATTTCATAAAATTGGTCATCGTATGGTATTTCATGTTTAATGCAATATGACCTAGTTTCTTGATTTACAATTTTAATAGCACCACAATTCGCACTTCCTTGGTCACTTATAGTTGCCACAACTTTCAAGCCACATTGGTGAACACAGCGTATGACCTATTAAATTTTGGAAGTAAACAAAATAATTTAAAAGTATTTATTTAAAGAGTAAATAAATAAATATATTTACTTGTTTCAATTGCCGAATCAGTTCATGTTGTGTGGTTGCTCCTTTGCAAAAAGAGTAGGCTATTGGTTGTTTGAATTTTTTTTTTATTCCGCGGACCATAAAAACCAGTGCATGGTCAGCAATATTCTGACTTTTATAAGAACCAGTGTCAACAAAACCATCAATCTGGTCTGTAACTGAATCATATGACAATCCACTTGACAGGCATACTTCATCAAACAATATTGAGCAAAATCTATGAAAAAAGTATAAAAAATAAAATGTTCTCTACAATAAAATCATAAAATATCTCACTTTTCAGAAGGCTTCAGATGTTTAACATTTTCTTTGAGTACACTCATTATTGATGGGCAAATACCAGTAGAAATGACAACTGTTGACAATATTGTGTTTAATGTGCGTTTACTTGGCAAAGTGAAAAGTTTAGAGAGCATTCTGTAACACTTTGGTGATCTTTTATACAGAGATAAACTCAACATTTTTTCATCCGTTGTGAATCGACGGCCTCTACTAAGTTTGCTTGTCTCTCTTATTTGTAATCGCATAAATAATGAAGCTGCAGTAGTCATTTTTTCAGAATTTTTGCCAATTAAATATTCTTCAGTGAACTTTTCAGCGGCATGGAGTCTATTCTTAAAGAGATTTTTACGGCTATTTGTCCGTCTACACTTCTTCAATAACATATTAGTTATGTTGTAAAAGTTTCTACATCTAGGTGTAAGCTGCTTACTATTGGTAACTCCGATTTCTCTAAGAACACCTAAATGATAAATTACATAAATGATTAAATAACTGCTTATTATGATAAATATTACATAACTAACTACTTTAGTAAAACTAAATATTAACCATGCTGTTTCTTTGAACTTTTGAACTTTTGTTTTTTTTTCAATGCTCTACAAGTTAAACTAATACCATCTCTAACTTCACTGCCAATAGCACAACCATCAACATCTACATTTAGCAAAATAAAAGCATAAAACTAAACTAACGTGCACAAATTAGCTACCATTAAATTAACTATATAGTATTACATACGTATAACTTGAGGCATTACTGTACTATCATCATCATCATCTGATTTGCCGTCAACAGTTGAATTTAAAAAATCAAATCCTGAGATGTCATGCAATGTCATGTCATGTTTTGGAGTGCTGCACACTACCGAATTCAAACGATTTTCTAAAATTTTCAAAATTAAACATGTTTAAAGAGTATTACAACAACTAAAATATAATTAAAAACAAACCAATTAAGTTATCTGTAACTAATTCAGTGTTATAAGGTTGAATAGTGATCGGTAATACAACTAAGCCATCAGAAATTCCTACTTAAATATAAAAAATAGTTAAAATTACTTAGTATTTAGGTACACTAAAATTGAATTATGCACCTATAATCAATAAGTAGCAAATAAATATAACAAATTTAAATATGGCACTTACCCACAGGTAAATTTAGTGTTGGATATGCATTTGCATTTAATCGTTTTGTACCAGGACTTGAACAATTATCAGCAAAATGAACAGAACAAATATATTTGTTTTTGAACTTATGATTGTCATCTGCTGTAAAGCCCACAGCTTTAATCCATTCCAATCGTCGTACCAAATCTTTATTCTCATTAGGAAAACGATGACAAACCATGTCTACAATGAATACCATATACATATAGATATATTTATATATATAATGACACAAGCAACTAAATTCAAAATTTACAATGACAACAATATATACTTAGTAGGTACTTACTTTTGGAAGTACAGCCTTTAACGACGCATTTTGACTGGTTTTTATACTTTTCGGACATTTTTATCAATGACGTATTGAACACTGAACTTTATTCTATGACTGAAACTGAACGCTAAGTACAAAAAATAATATGACGCTGAACAAGTGTATATAGAATAAGATTCGTAAACACGTGCGTAAACTGAACAGTGAGCGGGAAGCCGGGAAATGCAATGTACAAGACACAAGTGCCGATTTGCGCGTCTGCGCGAGTGCCGACCGCCACGGCGCCACCTGGTAGGACAACAGCGCTCCCGGGGACTGCAATATGAAACTACAATGGAACGTTTTGTCCATTAGGAGTGGCACTAGCCTGGATTATTACTTCATGAACGGTCTATCATGACGGATCGCGTCAGTATAAAATTCACACATGTAAAAGCCGCGGTATTATTTTTAATATCCGTGCGTATCCATTCCAATTTTTTTTAAAGTTACTGCTTACCTAAATATTTGTAGCAATATATATACAGTAAAAACAGTAATACAACATAGCTTGATTTGTAGCTATTGAATTATTACTTATTCAAATATAATTAATAATTATATAAAAAACTACAATATTACTTTTTATTTAAAAAAATAAAAAGGTATTATAAATTAAAACAAATTTTAATATAGAAAGAGGTAATTTATTTAAAAGAATAACAACTTGTACTAATATTAGGTTAGGGTATACTATTATCAACAACATAATTGTATTTATTTTTTATTTTTTATATTTTCAAGTATGTGGTCTGGATCTTGAATGTCAGTTTTCGACATTCTTTTATGATACATAGGGTTGACTAATTCGGGAAGCAAGCACTTCAAATAGTACCTATAACATATGTAGTTTAAAATGAAGTGTAAGGTTGAAGTATAATTATTATATTAGCATTTATTTTTAAATATCTTAATTCTTACGTTTTTTATTTACTTATCATATTATTCTCCCAAAACGTTGCATCATAATTAATTTTTTCTACCGATATCCAATTTGGTGTATAAATCACAAAATAACACACATTTCTTTTAGTAATACGCATCTGTCCTATTATTTGATAATAATATATATTGTCCGTCTTTAATTTTATGGAATTATCTGTGATACTACAATATTTTAGCTGTTAACAAAAACAAATACATGTATTCGCAAGTATATTTGCAAAGATAGAAATATAAAATATCATCAAAAATAATCAAATTATTATTTTAGTTTATATTATAGGTTATGTTAAGTGCTACTTATAAAAAAAAAAAAATATTATTTATTTTTTCCTCACTAAATTGTTATTTACAGCATCTATTGCATTAGATGTATTTCTAGCACTAAATGGACATTTTATCTCTATGACACTATCTTCCCCAATCAAACCATCTAAATACATTATAATATAATACATATTATTATGTAAAATGAATAAAATATTGATAACATATAACTCATTAGGTATCTTATACAATACCTGGACTTGCTGCCAAATAGGGAAACTCTGTATCTATAAATAATCCACAAGGTTGTACAGTAAAATTCATGGTTTCCTCAGCCTTTTTACGTGCAGCAATCTCCATGTACTTTCCATACTGAAGAGATTTTGCTTGCACATTAGTTGCGTATAGAATGTTATAAACAGAATTTTTGCAACTTGTATTGGGTCTCATCTTACATATTTGGCCAAATGACGAAGCTGTCAAACGAATTTTACGTTCTTGATACCATAATTGATTATCAGCCTGCTCTCTTGTATCAATTTCAATTTGTACAAAATTTGTATTTTTAAGTTTGGCAAGAAATTTATTTTTTTTATCCTCAATTTCTTCTGGGGTAAAATCTACAGAAAGAGGTTCTGCCATACCATAGTCTGCGTCAGGACCATTTGATACTGGTTTTTTATTTTTATTTTTTTTAGGGAACAATTGACGCCTTCTACTACTATTGCCTAAAATCCTTTCATGGTTTTTTAAATACTTTTTACCAAACTTTCCTAAACCAAAAAAAAAAAATTATGTAAATGTACCTATATATAAGTAAATAAATATTGAAGTTTAATAATAGTACCCTCTGTGCAATTCCAAGATTTTAACTTCCATGTGTTGTAATACGTTAACTAAAATGGTAACTTCTCAATGTAACATCTATATGTTATCGATGAGATGAAAATTCGTTCTGTGGATATCCACGAGACTGCGACAAATGTATGACTAATTGTTGTTTATTTGTAACTCCACATAGTTATTTAAAATAATATTATCTTGACGTAACGACGAAATAATTTCTTATCGATAAAAAATATGACATCGATGTGAAGTTACAATGTTACATAATTAGGTATTTTAATAAACTCTGCGTTTCGTCTATAATTAGAACATCTGCTTGTGGATGTCGCATATACATATATTAGTTGTCCATTTTAATACCAAACATCACATTAGAACGTTAAATACACTCCTATGTGAAGTTCGTGGATATGTTCGATTAAAAATATCACAATGCGTTATTACAATTGGCTATTTTTTTTTTATTTATAATTATGTGATGTGATATTGCAATGGTGTTTGTCCGTTCTCCAGTTCTCCACTATCGTTTTGTGCTCACTAGTCACTACTCATCAATCACGCATCCTGTAAGTTGTGATCTGCAGTGATTTATATAATTTTATACATTTTTTGTGATATCAGTGTACCTACATACCTAGTGCTACCTATACAGTAATACAGTATCTACCTATACATATTTTAATTATGGACACCACTTCGACTTCGCAAAGAACAGTAAGTACAAATCAAACATTATTAAAAATTATAATCAATTTTAGTCTTTAGACGAACCTAATATTTAATACGTAGTAGGTAACATAACCAAAGTAATAATAATATTCATGCCTAATAATTTAGTTACCTATACGCGCGGCTATACCTATTAACTTAATTAGCCTTGCAGTAATTATTTAATTATATTAAATAATGTTGTGAAAATGTCATTAATTGCTAATTCATAGAAATGTGGGTACAGGGAATAAACAAATACATTCAATATATTCTTTAAAAATATTAGAATAGGTAGGTACATTTTTTATTCCGTCAGCAAATGATTTCATATTAGGAAGGAGCAATCCCTCTGGTTATTAGTTTATTACCAATAATATTTTATTTTACCTATTGGTATTAGTATAAAATAAATGTTTATTTATTACAATGTATTTCTTACTTTTGGGCGTTTTAAATTTGTCAGGAATTTTAGATCAGATACATTAAAGGTCAATATTATATTTTATTTATCAAGGAAGATAGTTGCAACTTGCAATAGGTAGTTTGTTTTAATTTTGGAAAATTTAAATTTAATATTTGTATTGTGTTTGAAGTTAATGATAAAAAAAAGAAAACACATGCACTTTATAATATCCAATAAACATAGTTACCATATTATGTTACAAATTAAAAATTTTATTTTATTTTATTATATTACAAAGGTACCTAGGTATATACAATTTTTTGATCGTTTATAGTAGGTAATGCTGATGTTCTTTCTAAATTGTATTCTATTATTTGGTCTTGTTTGTAATAATTAATTCCAGTGGTTTGTGGGTTACTTCGAAGAAGAAAATACTTATTCTGTCATTCCTAATAATTGGATAAGTCGTCAAGACAAAATAGTGTATTGTAAATGGCCCAGGAAGCAGAAAGTTACACCAGTCATGCTAAGTAATGCCATAGAGCCTTCAAATAACTGGTCTTTGTATCCAGTAAATTTGGTGGACGACTTATGTTTTGGTATGTATACATATAATACATAATGAAATTTAAATATAATATAAAAGATAACTTAGATCCTATATAGTGGAGTAAATTAGTATTTGGTAGAATATTTTTTTATGATAAAATACCCTAAAGACTAGAACATATTATATTTGTTTAAGTTTTTGATGAAGATGATATTCAACTTATTTAAAAATTAGTATGTGGGTACAATATTAACACGTTCACTGCCGGTGTCAACACGTAGTTGACACACGTACATTCGCCGGTGGCCACTGTCAATACGTTGTTGACACCAAAACTATCCATTTTTAATATATTGTCACGGGGTCGGCTTTTATCGCATGTTATTTATTTATTTATTAATAGATTCGATAGCCCGTGTAAAATTGAATGGTATAGTTGGATTCATTTTTCGAATTATTTATAGAATATTTTTCCTAATTATTATTTTCGTTGATATTATTTAATATCTTAATATATAATACACATATACCAAATTATTATTGTTGAAATATTACACAGTTTTATCTTTTATGTTTGACAGTCATTCTTCAACGTGCGTACATTGTCGTAGTCAGTCGTAGTCACTAGAATTGATATTATTTTGTGTGTGTTTTTTTAAGTACATTTAAAATTGTTCATTTTAATCCTACATAGTGATAGTATAATGGCTTCTATTCTTACTGATGAAGAAATACTCAGTATGATTAATAATGGAGATTTTCTATTGTCAGACGAAGATTTTGGTCTTAATTCTGGGAGTGATAGTTTAGGTGAGGGCGATTCTGCAGATGACGATTGTGATCAAAATAATATAGTTGAACAAAATATTGCCAATCAATCGCCTGCATCGCTTACTGAAACAGATTTAGCTTCACCACAAATTAGCCGTGAAAACAATTATAACTGGTCTACTTGTCGTCCTCAAGTTATAGATATTCCTTTTTCTGAAACACCAGGACTTAAAATTTTTCCTAAAGGTAACGACCCAATTGATTATTTTAATTTATTTGTTACAAACACATTTTGGGAGTTTTTAGTTGAAGAGGCAAATTCATATGCAGTTGAAGTCTTTTTGAACAGCGATCGGTCTAATTCTCGTATTTCAACTTGGAAAAATACAGACGTTGTTGAAATGAAAAAATTTATTGCTCTTTTATTTCACACTGGTACTATTCGCGTAAATAGATTAGAAGATTATTGGAAAACCAATGAGCTTTTCAATTTTCATATTTTTCGAAGTACTATGAGTCGTAACCGATTTATGCTATTGCTCAGAGTCCTACATTTTTGCAAAAATCCCGGACAAAATGATAATCCTACAAGTCGCTTACATAAAATTGACAAAATGACAAATTATTTCAATAAAACAATGGAAGAACTTTACCAACCATCTAAAAATTTATCGATCGACGAATCTATGGTTTTATTTAGAGGAAGACTTATGTTTCGTCAGTATATAAAAAATAAGAGACACAAATACGGGATTAAGTTGTATATGATGACTGAGTCGTGGGGATTGGTTCATAGAGTTCTAATTTATTCAGGAGAGGGTACTGGTACATCAGAAGAGTTAAGTCATACCGAATACGTTGTAGAGAAACTAATGGAAGGTTATTATTACAAAGGCCATTCAATCTATATGGACAACTATTATAATAGTGTCAAGTTAGCACATTATTTATTAGAAAAACAAACATACTGTACGGGTACTTTACGAGCCAACAGAAAAAATAATCCTAAAGCTATAAATGATAAAAAATTGAAGAAAGGTGAAACAATTTGTCAATATACAGAAAAGGGAGTTGGTGTGGTAAAATGGAAAGACAGACGAGATGTGATCGCAATATCTTCAGAACATTCACACGATTTGGTAAATATAACTAATAGAAAAGGAATAATTAAATCGAAACCTCTTTCCATAATAAAGTATAATGAATATATGTCGGGCATTGACAGACAGGATCAAATGCTTTCTTATTATCCTTGCGAAAGGAAAACGTTGCGGTGGTATAAGAAACTAGGAATACACTTTATACAAATCCTACTACTTAATTCGTACTTATTGTATAATAAAAATGTAAAAAAAATTTCATTTTACGACTATCGGTTAAAAATTATTTCGACTATATTAAATTCTGGGGAAAATAATATTACTAAAAGACAACCAACAAATAATAATGCATTACATTTTTCAAAAAAAGTACCTAAAAATAAAAACAACAAAATCATGTATAAGAGATGTAAACTATGCAGTTCAAAAGGAGTACGAAAAATGACGTCGTTTTATTGTTCAATGTGTGAAGACGAGCCAGGATTTTGTCTAGACTGCTTCGAAGAATTTCACAGAAGTATATAAATTAAAAATTATGTTTATTGTTTTATTTATATTTATACTTATTTGTAAGTTAAAAACTACAGTTTAATTCAATAAGTAGTATTTTTTTATTTTATTTCATTTTATTAAATATTAAAAATAAATCTATACAAAAAAAAAGTTGAATTTTCATTTTACATTTTTGTGTAACCGCTGTGTTGTAGTACAAATTGAAAAAAACCAAAGTACTTATAAACTCAATAGTATCGTAATATTATTGAAAAACATAATTGTAAGTGTGATGTATGATAATTTATCAAGTATTTATTTAGATATAATTGTGGATTCTTATTTATTATTAGCATGAATCGGGCGCGCAACGCCGGTGTCAACACGTAGTTGACAGTATCAGCCGAGACTGGTTTTTGGTTACGGCTACGCGCGCGCTAATGCATAATTCGGTCGGCAGTGAACGTGTTAAGATTGAAGGGTTTTACCTTGTTTCTATTTTGTTATTACAATACATGTTGCCATGTAGGGTTGAATAGTTCTTCTTTTGATAATACAGATGTTTCATGTCTACTTCATGAAATGTATTCTTAGGTACCAGAAAAATTTTTGTCAAGTTAATGGCTCATTTTATATAGGTACTCACTAATAAGTAAATTATTTACAGTGGGTATGTTATCCATATAGTGTCGTATATTATCATAAAATATTTCTAATTTTAGATTCTGAGCGAAGCTATGAATGTATTGATTTTACAATGATGTGTGTTTTTTTTTAATTTTTTAATTTTTTTTTGTGTCTGTCATCACCTTTTAGGACAGTAAAAGTGCTTGGATTTTCTTCAACAGTAACTTTTCTGATAGGAAAGTGAATCTAGATGGTACTTTGGGGGGTTAAAAGTAAAAATTTATTCACCTTAATATCATCAAATATACTTAGTAATACCATAAGCTGACTGACCATTTTCGCTCAGAATCGTTTTTCTTATACAATGATATTATATCATTGAATTCAAATTTAACACCATCCATTACAGTGACCCACTTGTAACCTACTTTACTGCAGAGTGACATCCACTAACCCACCTTTTTGTTATTATATTTAATATTTGTATTTGAAAACTTCTAGGACTTATAGTTAAAAGATAAGATGTTTGTTAAAAAAAATGTATGTAACTTTTGTTGCTACCACAGATCTGTAGTACTCACTTGGATAAAAAACTATAAGAATATACCAATTGGCTATTATAAAATTAGTATAATACATAAACCTATGTATACAAGCACAATTAATAAATCATTAAATTATATGTAGATAATTATGATGAAGCTGCAAAAAAAGAAAGAGAGGTTTTTTTGTCAGCTTCTGAATCCGACAGAAGTTATAAAAAAGCCAAGCCTAACAATTTTTCCTCAAGAAAAAACCTTTTTGGAAGTAATGACAATATTAATGATAGCGGTAATTACTTATTACTATTACTATTTAATTTAAATATTATTTATTAGTTATTAGTTATTTATTATTTATTAGTTTAAAAGAAAATAAGAATTATTACTAAATTTGTATTTTGTTATATATTTAACTGTTAATAAATAAATATTGAGTAGGTATAACATACTAACACAATACCGAATTAATAGAGGTGGATAATTGAAAATATTAAATTATAATCAACACATTTAAAATGAAACAGATAAATAAAAAAAAAATTTAGAATCTAATATATATTCACAATAATTGTTGATAATTATATTTTTAAAAAAATCATATTTTTAAATAATTCTTATGTTAGATATACTGTCTTACATAGGCGGAGCCACAGGGCGTGCAGGGTAAGCAGCTGTACGCCCTAATTGCCCTGATGGCTGCTTTGATTTAAGTTTAATTTAATTAATAAAAGTAAAATCTATGAATGGTTAATTTGGCTGAAGTCTAATGATCATTATAAATACTAATCATTACATTTGTTCTTAACAATGTATTTTCCATATATTCATTTTCCAAACAAAGACAGTTCCTAACTTTATTTTTCTATATAAAATAATTTCAAATAATAAATATAATTTCTATCTCATTTTCCATTTCTTCAATTTCATTTTCTTTTTTTAGAACTAACTGATTATATTATACAACAAAAATATTGCCAACTGCAGGAGGAATTCAATTGTGCTTACATTCGGCATATTTAAAATTAATAAAAATTTGAAATTTTGAATATAAATAAGCTAATAATAAAATGATAGCTTACAATTTATAAATAACGAAAAAAACCAATGGCAACTAATTACGGTGACCTATAAAATATCTGAAAATAGGGATTTTAGGGCTACCCAAACCCCCTCCCCATAATTGTGGTGGGCTGATTTAGATTCTGCATACGCTAAATAATACTTCTGGCTCCCCCTATGCTGTCTTATAAGTTATAAGAACTATTTTCTATCCAAAGTTGGTTTATTGCAATAAATATATAAGTTTATTAATATATAGTTATTAAGAGTTAAAAGTGGGAATTTTTAGCAGCAAAATTAATAATATTGTTTGTACTTTATTAACTATTCAACCAACATTTATATTTATAGACAGCAGTGACAATGATCAACCACTTATGGTAATAAAAAAAAAAAATGATGAAGCAAAAAGTTTAATATCAAATGCAATAACTGGTATTCAAGAAGAGTCTTGTAATTATAGTTTTGAACCAAATTCATTGGGATCCATGTCTTCTAGTAATTATATATCTATTCTTAAATGCATATTCATATACCCAGTTTAGTGATAAATTTTTAATAATTCTAAAGTTAAATACCCAGAAAGTTTGAAAATTTTAAATAATATTTTTTTATATTTAAAATTATCACTCTGTTTTATTACCTATACTGTAATAGACATTAGTATAGTAAATTATAGTTTATAGAGAAATATTGGGTATTGTTCCGTATGCTGTAGCAGTGTGTGATATTGTTTTTACCTTATCCAATTTAAATTTTTATTTTTAGTCTCAAATTATGATAAACATCCTAAAACTATATTGCAAAAATCATGTGAAGCAAGAAATGTAGCATGTAGCAATGAAGAAAATATGTACAATATTGATCAAAGTTCTGTAAACATTTCACAGGAACCTACTGTACAAATGGCTAGCAGCACCTATATGTTATGTAAGTAATATCATTAAAAAATTCTATATAATATGTAACAATGAAAATTTAATAAATAAATTTATCAATTCTGAAACTACAAAATGTATATGTGTCTATTGTACCCATTTAAAATTTGTTTAGCTGCAATGAACACATTATTAAACATGAACGATCAAAATGTAAATGTTTATGAGTCTGCATCTCCTTTGTGTTCTGAAAACACAACACATAATTCACAGTTTTCAACACCTCGCCCATTACTATCTGCCTCAGCTATAGTCAATAATAATTCAAACAATTTTTCTGTTAGTCGTGGTGAGTTGTAGTTATGTCTTAACTTTAAGATTTTTTTAATGTTAATATGTCACATTTAAAAGGTGACAATTTAAGACCACTTAATCATTGCAAAAACATTGATGCACTCATGTAGTTTACTTACATGTTACATTAAATTATGCTTTGCTAAAAACTAAAAACTGTTTATTTTTATTAAAAAATATACAATATGTATCTAATATCATGTAACCTATTGTATTTAGTACCTAGTTGTATAAAAAGTAATAACTATTTAAAAAATTAATATTTTTCTACTTCAGATGCTGTTCAGTCAAATATATTAAATATTATATATGAACAAGGCATTGAAACCAATGCATATTTAAAACGAATTGATGGAAGGCTGGATTGTCTAGAAAAAATCATAAAAAATATGTCTGGTACCCAAAATCATAATAACCCTGTAGATAATGCATTTTTAACCATGTTTCCTTTAAAAGATATCGATTCACTTAAAGATTTTGATACTCGTATTACAAATGATCCAGATTTTAAACTCAATGTGGTAATTTTCACATGACGTATGTTTGTACTTATGTTTATGCCTGTTACATTATAAATACCTAACTAATGCATATTCCATTTTAAATAAAGTCCTATTAAATACATACTTTAATTTCGCAGATAAATTTTATTACTAGAATTGGAGGTACTGACATCAAGAATTTCATTAAACGTGTGTTACAAAGGATTTTCAGTAACGAGCTATCATCGAAATGCTCGTGGACAGGTTTTCGTAATAATTACAGACTTGAAAATATTTGGTTTATGAGCATCATGAAAGGTAATTTAAATATTTTTGTGTCAAAAATGTTTAGTGCGATTTCTCATTTTTGTTTGTTTATTTGTTCTATAGACTTATCTAGGGAAAAATTCAACTCATCAGACCTTGATTTTGAGTTGCATGTTAAAGACTGGTTTCGTCATGGCTCACAATGATTTATAAGAGATCAACAAACTCAAAATAAATAATTTATACTAAAAGAAGAAAACAATAGTATAAACTTATACACATCTATTATATATTGTATAGTAAGTATTTTATACATGGTTGCTGTATAATAAATGAATGTCTTTAAATAATATATATTTTTTAGATAATATTCAGGAAATGATATAGGTACTAATTTAGTTAGTCTAAATCTAGGTTAGGTAATGTACATCGTTCATACTTACAAGTTAAAATACCTATATAATATTGGCCTGTAATTTGTCTAAAATGGTTAGGTATTAGGATGTTAGACACTAGTTTAGTTTAAATATAGGTACTTTAAAGTTGAATTATATAATATTGACCTTTAATTTTTAAAATGGTTATAAAGTTTAACTTTTGTTTGAGTATATTGTTTAAATTCTGCATTGCAATTTCTGTAATAGTTTAAAAAAAGAAAACCGTTGCATCATATGTCCAAAAGAAATTTCAAACGATGTCTTGAAGCTGATAAGAAAGCAGCTAGCTTAAATTTTACTGCCCTATCGAGTCATCCGAATAAAAGTACTACGAACTGTGAGTATGTTGAAGTGTTGCAACATCAGGATTTTACAAATGTGTGTACTCCATCAAATGCTCAAACTATTCAAACTACAATGTATCCCAGTATACCAGACAATTGTAATCAGTCAAATGAAATAGCTACAGGCTTTAATCCTCCAAATCAACCTATTAGTACTGAAAGTAAAACACTTAAGGATAAATTACGACAGTTAATTTGTGACTTTCATATTTCACATAACTGTGTAAATAAACTTTTAGAAATTCTTAGATCTGAAGGACTTGATTTGCCAAAAGATGTAAGAACTCTATTTCAAACCCCCAAGGACCATGCAATAATTAATGTTCATCCTGGTACATATATTCATATTGGTATAGAATTTATGATTACACCTATTTTACTTGCTTATGTTGAACAACTTAAAAATACTTTTAATATACAATTGGGAATAAATATTGATGGATTGCCAATTTCTAAAAACTCTAAATCAAATTTATGGCCAATTTTAATTTCTATAGTAAATATTCCAATATTGTCAAAATATGTTATGCCTGTGGGAATATATTATGGTAGATTTAAAAAGCCAGAGTCAATTTTTGAATATTTAAACTCTTTTATGACTGAAATGAAAAGTATTATTTCAAATGGAATACACTTAAATGGTAAAATTTACAATTTTATTATAAGTCAAATAATTTGTGATGCTCCAGCAAAGGCATTTATTTTAAATGTTAAATCCTTTAACGCCTACCATAGCTGCAATTCTTGTATTGAAGAAGGAACCTTTATTAATGGCCGGATGTCATTTTTAGGAGTGTCTTCTCCTTTAAGAACTGACGATTCATTTCGTACAAAAAAGGATGAGGATTACCACAAAGGACCTAGCCCTTTAGAAGAATTTCCCATTAATTTAGTATCAACTGTCGTTTTAGACTATATGCACAATGTCTGTCTTGGGGTCATGAAACGTTTACTTACTTTTTGGGTAAAAGGAAAAAAACCTATTAGGTTTAAAAGTGTTGAAATAGTATCTGAAATTTCTTCACAACTCATTGACATAAAACCATACTTCCCTTCAGAATTTAATAGATTACCGCGGAGTTTGGATGAATTAGAATTTTTTAAAGCTACGGAATTTAGGTCTTTTCTTTTGTATACGTCTTTAATTGTTTTAAAAGGAAGATTAACAAAACAACTTTTTCAACATTTTATGTTATTACATTGTGCAATAAAAATATTGATTAGCAATGATTTGTACATAACACATAATTCTATAGCAAAAAATTTACTTATGACATTTGTTTCTCAATATCCTACTTTATACGGTTATGAATATGTTACATATAATGTACATGGATTAATTCATTTGGCTGACTTTGCACTTCAACACGGTCCTCTTGATAATTTTAGTGCATTTAAATATGAAAACTGTTTACAAATAATAAAAAAAACTGTAAAAAATGCCAGATACCCACTACAAGATGTTTATAATAGAGTTGTTGAACTTCAAAGCATCCAAATTAAAACTTTACCAAATTATCCTATACTGAAAAATGAAATAGACTATGACCCACTATACCATAGAGACCCTTCAGTAACTTTGTATGATCAAATAATTCTGGAAAAATTTGTTGTCAGTAGAAGTAATATATGTAATAAATATTTTTTTTTAGATACAAATGAAATTGTAAATATCCAAAAAATTGGTAAACGTGAAGATGGCTCTATTTTTCTTGAAGTTATTAAATATAATAATTTAACATTAATGTTTGAGACACCAGTTTTATCTAGTGTTGTAGGCTCTTTTTATGTTGATACAATATCTGTATCAAATTCTTTTATTATTAACTTATTGTCATTAAAATATAAATGCATTTTTATACCCATTTCTGATGTAAAGGCAGTTGCCTCATTATTATTACATACATAAATTTTGCTGTTTACATTATTATTATGCACTAATGGTTTATTCAATAGCCAGATTTTAAATTTAAATGTATTTTTGTACCTACTTATTTTTGTATGAAAGAAAAGTTGTTCATTAGGTAGGTAGTAGGTACCTACTAATTATTATATATTATATGATGTGCTAGTTATTTTGTATGTAAATTGTAAGTGCTATATTATTATGAACTTATTATTACCTATTATGAACCATGCTTAACTTCTTATGTTATAAATTTAATACTCAATTGCAAATTTTACATTTTGCACCTTACTTTTTATATGATGTAAAGGCAGTTGCCTCATTATTATTAGATACATACATTTTGCTGTTTACATTATTATTATGCACTAATGGTTTATTCAATAGCCAGCTTTTAAATTTAAATGCATTTTTGTACCTACTTATTTTTGTATAAAAGAAAAGTTGTTCATTAGGTAGGTACCTACTAATTATTATATATTATATGATGTGCTAGTTATTTTGTATGTAAATTGTAAGTGCTATATTATTATGAACTTATTATTACCTATTATGAACCATGCTTAACTACTTATGTTATAAATTTAATACTCAATTGCAAATTTTACATTTTGCACCTTACTTTTTATATGATGTAAAGGCAGTTGCCTCATTATTATTACATACATAAATGTTGCTGTTTACATTATAATTATGCACTAATGGTTTATTCAATAGCCAGCTTTTAAATTTAAATGCATTTTTGTACCTTCTTTTTTTTGTATAAAAGTAAATAGTTGTTCATTAGGTAGGTACCAGGTACCTACTAATTATTATTAATTATATGATGTGCTAGTTATTTTGTATGTAAATTGTAAGTGCTATATTATTATGAACTTATTATTACCTATTATGAACCACGCTTAACTACTTATGTTATAAATTTAATACTCAATTGCAAATTTTACATTTTGCACCTAACTTTTTATATGATGTAAAGGCAGTTGCCTCATTATTATCATTATTATTATTATCAAGTGTACATAGTATAATAAATATTATACATTTTTTTGTTTCAATAAATAAAAGTACCTTTACTGTTTTAACAATTTACTGTCTATTATTTAAATGTTTTCCTCCCTCAATAACTAAAAAAGAACATTAGAAAATACTTACATGTTTTTAACACTTGACATTATAGCTCCAACTGTAGGTACACTGGAATAATATTTTTAATTTGATAACTATATAACTTCTATTATGGCAAGTTTTATACAGCTAATATAATAGCGGTATACTAATATTATACAGTATACCTACCTATATAAATATATAATAGCTATAGAGCTATAATTATAGAATAATTATGTTTGATCTAAAAGTTGTTTCACAATTACTCAACGACATCAATTTCAAACTACTTAAGGTAGTTGAAAAATGCAGTGTAAAAAACTAATAATAAAATGGTTTAATATCTCTGAGAAGTCTAAGTGAAGTAAATAAAGCAGTTTAATTTGACATATATGTGAGTTTGATGTAATATATTTTTGATGATTTATAGAAGTCTATGTTTTGTTTATTAACTATTGAGCGATCTAAATAAACAACCGATAGAAGTTGAGTAAGAAGTTATTTGTGAAGTCCTATAGACTTAATTTTTTAACATCCCATTTATAACATCACTCAACCTGGCGTTTGGCGTCCGTGCGATATCTCTGAGACAGCATAAGGCACTAGTTTTTAACTTCTCATGTTACATGGTAATAGCTATGTGAAGTCTATGAGATTGGTTTTTGCACAGAGGGTATATATAGAGTAGTAAGCAAAGTTGGGCAACTTTGTCACTTTTTTCAACTAGTTAAAGAGTAGAAGTTAGAAGTTAGTTTTTTTTTTTAGTTTAAAACATAACTTTAAAAAACCATTTTTAGATTCTGAACGAAATGATGAATGTATTGATTTTACAATGATGTTATTTTTTTGTGTCTGTGTACAGCATAACTAGTCGAAATAATGCTTCAATTTCAAACTGCAGGGGAGGTTTCCGATGGCAAAGTGAATATCCTTGGTGCATTATACAGGTGGAAAGTAAACATTTTCCAACAGTCCTCAAAAAAATCGAGAAAAACAAAAAAAAAAGTGACAGAAAAACGGGAATTTTTACGCAAAACCAGTTTTCGACCAAATCGATTTTTTTATATTGTTGTAATTCAAAAACTAATCACTGTAAATACTTGAAATTTTCACCAAATGATTATGTTAGTGTTCTCTATTTCTCACATCATTACTCACACTACTCACAACTTTCTAACTAGTTAGTGCCCAGCTTTGGTAGTTAGTGTACACACGTTTTTTTTTTTTTAATTCACTTGTGACGAATTTACCTACATAAAAACTTAGATATTATAACTATCAACAAATATAACTTTTACAAACTCAGTAGTATTAAAATACGCACCTGGACTAAAGTTCGATATTTTTTTATGAATGCACCTCAAATATTCTTTAGAGTTAAATGATATCACTGCAGCATGAACTCTAGTATTGTAGTTTCCTCTATTGCTGAAATTAATTCGTTTGCCGGCTATGTGTTTATTTATAATTGCATTAAATTGTTCACATATGTTATTATTTTTATTTTCAAGAAGGCTCTCGGCATTATTTGCAAGTCGTAATGCATAATTTTTAATTTCTTGCATCATACCAGATTTTTCTGCTTCTGGCACCAAGTTCATATTATTTGACGTAAGTTGGTTACAAAAGTATTTATTACAATTATCATGTTGGCCTAGACGATGATAAGGTCCATTTAACAAATCATTTCTTATCTCTAAAACATATATAATGATTGTTTACTATTTTACAAATTAATTTCAAATAAATAGTAAGAACCCTTTTTAATGGTAAATGTACCTTTATCATATTTATTATCGTTAAACATTTAAAGTTTCTTGGTTTATAATTTATAAACTATTGCAACAAAAATACTAACTCTTACAATACCCGATTTATTATTTTCATATTATATAGCCATATAGGTACATTCGTTTTTTTTAAATATAATATTATAATTTTCTACTATAGACAAAAGTTGGTATACATTTTAAAATCAAACCTTTAATTTTTTCTAACTTTGAAAGACCAACAGTATCTTGCCAATGTTTTACTGCTTTGATAACATCTCCTCGGAATCTCAGAATATTTGTAAGAATATGTTTTCGAATACGAATCGGATATTTTGTTATTCTAGCTAAAGTTGTTAGTTTGGAGCTATAATTCCGTAATAAATGGTTAACACATTCAATTTTTTTAATTGAAAATGTTGGACCATATGGTGAAAGTTCGTTAAGTTTTTTCGTAACACTGCTGTCTCCGTCTCCTATTAAATATTAGGCAAATTAAATATTTTAGTATGATATGATTTATTTCAAAAAACTACTTTTTTTATTTACCAATGAGGTGATTATATTTTAAACCGTGCATTTCAATACTTTTTGTAAAACCTTCAAGTACGCCGTCTGTTTCCTTAGCGGTTGACGGTTTTGTCCAATTCAAAAAACACTCATGTTCAGGCACCTTTGCGTTTTTTGAATTATATTTTTGACATATCATGCAATATTTATTACGTATGCCCACAAATAGCACTTTTTGTGTTTTAAATCCAATTATAGTTGCCTAATTAAAGTACCAATATAATTTGTCTTATAATTTTTAGCCGATCATAATTTTTTTTTTTTAAATTTCTTTTATATAATACATTCTTACCACTCCAGACAGTGCATCATACTTAGTTTTGTACGATCGTTTGGACCACTGTCCATCGGCTACTACGGTACACATGGGAACCCCATCACTATCAACATTTCCGCATTCTAATGCCATTTTGCGTTCCTCGTCACCAGCTTTTTTCATTTCGTCATATGCAGAATTTTGTAGAATAGATCCTACTTCGGTTTGTAGTCTATGAAATGCATTACATGATAATGATGGCATTTCTAACGACGCTGCTAGTTCTGACATTTGAGTATGTCCTATTCCTTGTTTTATACAATAATAATACCATTATATTTACTATTCACTCATGTCTATTATTTACATTATTTAAAACCAATATACCTATTGTTTGACAAGCATTTACGACAGCTTTGTTTATTGGAATCATAGTTTCATTGTCTCTTTCAGAATACAAGGTTTTTTTTATATTACATACTCTGCATTTAAAAGTCATGATGGTTTGAAACCCATATATGCTTTCCGATTGATAGTCCATATCAACAAATGAGCAATCAAAACCACCTACATGTCTTGTTTGTACTTGATCTATTAAGTATTTTATATCAACTATCCTTCGACCCGACAAAGTCCTAATATTTAAAAAATAATTGTTTTCAATAAAAGATTATTATTCTATTTAGCTACCTAAATACAAATATTACGAATGGTTGGTTGGATCATCTAGCTTTTTCAGTGACACTACTCAACGAATGTGAAGAGATACTAAAATCCCTAATAAATAAAATTATAATAAAATAAAATATTTATCATTTTTTGATTATTTCGTAATTGGAAATTCATACAAATATTCAAATAAAAACTTACAATTGTTGAACCAGAACATCATCGACGTAATTATTTGAGTCATTTTCATTATTTGCTCTACACGAATATTTATTTATTATTATTTATTCATTTTTTTTTTTGTTTTTAAATTATTTAATGCTTATTTTATTAAATGATATATATAAATAAAATCATAATCACACATATTTTTAGACTTACGTAGTTGAAATATTTATGTTGGTTCCTTGAGTCGGAGAATTACTGCCATCAAACATAATATCCAATTGAACATTATTATCACTAATATTGAAATTGGATATTGGTGTACAATTTTCTAATACTCTAGTTTCATCAGTGATTAAACTGAAATGAATTAAGTTTTAAAATAAAATAATAATATTATATAGTTCGGTACCTACTCGTAAAATTTAAAAATTCACACGTAAAATAAAGATTTACTATCATATGGTTTTAGATATAAAATAAATAAATAAAATATCCTAAACTGACAAATCGTCTCTATTCAGAATCATTTTTCGTTTACAATAATATTTGTTAAAAATTTAGAATAACTTAAAAATTGTAAAATGTTCCAAAACAAATCAAAATTATTCATACAACGTATCACGTATACAGGTATACTGCATAATATCTTACATTACTTATATCTAAAATGTTTTTTTAGTCAACCGTTATTATACGCGTAAATTTTAGATTTTGACGCTTGTAAATATTTTTTTCACGATTTTAACGAATTTCGTATATATACAATTAGTAAATAGTGATTTTTAGTAATGTTTAGTTTTAATATAATGTTTACAGTTTACATAAAGTTCCAAGTATTTAGAACTTGAACAAAATGGACAGGACGTCGGGGTGAAATTCAACATTAAATTTAATATTTAAAAAATATTTTACTGTATATGAAAACATCAAAATATCGTGTAAATTTTATAAAATTAATAATTATTATAATAATAATGTTTAAAATTAAGTATAGTGAGGTAAGTATTACTTACCATTTGTTCTTTTTAAAATTATTTAATAGATGACGTCTCCCAACAGGCCTTTTTTTGGCTCGAAACTTTTTTGGGGACATTTTAATAATTAACACAACTACACAAGTCTCAAACTCACAAAACAGAACACAATGTTGATTATCGACTGTTAAAACATAACTGATAATGACATTTTGCCAAACAATAATTTGCTAACACATTTGTTTACGTATGTATAATAAATTATTCTCAGTGTACTTTAACTTTTAGTCCATTATAGAGCTATTATTAATAATGGCTAGGTCTCGGGGAGGGGGGATCTAATAATGTATCATAATAATTATTTATTAGATATTTATATTATTATCATGCGGCGGACGGCACCTTTAGGTATTGGTCACACTACGCCCGATATCGGCCGAAAAACGTTCGGCCGAATTCGGCCGTATACGCCCGAATATATTAATTCAATTGAATCTATTTATAATGGTCACACTAGTTCAGAATAATTCGGCCGTATACGACCGTTAACGGGCAAAAACAATATTATTTGTTTTTATCGGCCGTTTGAAGCCGAAAATGGATATTTCCCACGCATCGTCTACCAATCCGAAATAATACCAATATAGTTGAACAATTATTATTATTAGGTTTTATTATTATTAGGTATTATTATTCATTTACATCAAACACTAGTAAGAAGACGGTACGTCATACGTAACTAGTTTTTGTGTTTCATTGCCTGTGTTTTATTTAAAAAAAAGTATCTTGGAATTTTGAAATAATGGTTGATTGCGAACGACTAATTAGTTTAGTTTTTGAAAGAGAACCTATATGGGATTCTACAAGCAAAAAACACCATAACAGAGATGTAACCAGAAAATTGTGGCAGGAAATTGAAAAAGAAATGCAGGTCAAAGGTAAGTAAATATAAAAATATAAATACATAAATTTCATAAAATATTGTAATTGAGATTATTGTTTATTATTATTATTATTAATATTGTGATGGTGGTAAATCTGAATTAAATTTGATAAATAGGTAATAAATAAAATACAAATTTAGGTATGAATAATTATATAATATTATTATAGGTACAATTTAACAATTGTTACTTTTATATTATAGCTCCAACAGTTGTGAAATAATCTTTAAAAGTATCACGTATTATGTATGCTTCCGTTCTTGATCTGTTATTGCGTCTAGATACTGAATGTGTTTCTGAGTTGATGGTTGGGTCACGCCGAACCTGCTCCAGTAGTGTTTCATCTACACTTTCTTTATCGATGATAATATTATGCAATAAACATATAGTCTTAATAACTATATCAACATGTTCCGGGTTCATTTGAAGTTCGGATTTTAAACATCTCCATTTCGATACCAAAATTCCAAAAGTGCATTCAATCATACGCCGAGCTTTGCTCAAACGGTAATTAAATGTTTCTTTTGCCGAATCCAAATTTTTATCGAATGGATAGGGTCTTAATAGATAATCTTTCAGTGGATATCCTTGATCACCCAATAGAACAAATGGCATTGGAGTAGTTGTGTTTGGTAATGGTCTGTAATTAGGTACATTGAAGGATTTAGCTTCCAAATTTTTAAAAATATTTGATTCGGTAAATATTCCACTATCGCTCTGTCGTCCGTATGCTCCTATATCAACCGATATAANTTATCTATTTTAATATATGTGAATATTGTCTTACTCGTGTTGATCTATGTATTAATGTACCACATAACAGAGCATACATTGAACTATACAAAAACAGTTGAACGTTGCTCATCAATATAAAATCCAGTGTAATATTTGTGTTCTACAATTCTTTAATAAAAATGTAACAGCACCTATTTATTATGTACTACTATCTGTGAGTAAATTCAAACAACAGAAATGTGTGTGCGCCCAACAACGTTTATTTATATAAATAGTTAATAGGATGTATAAATATATATTAAATTCAAATTCAATGAATAAATTATAATATAATTAATTGTATGTGATTTTTTTTAGAACACTAGACAAAAGAAAAAACATTTCTAAGTTGATTCTAATTTTGATTACTTTTTTTTGACTTTATTTTGTTTTTTAGCGTAGCTGAACTGCCTCATCCTCATAGTAATGTAAAAAACAAAAATGTTTTTAACTATTTAACTTTTATGATCTCCACAAGGAAAAGTTAATTTAAAATTTCTACTAAAAAAGTCTTCAGAAGTTTCCTCAAAAATATTTGGTGATTCTGCATGTTTTTCAAAACATACTTCAATCATTTGTATAATCAAGTATAGATTTTTATTGGGATGAGTTAAGAAACCCTTTGTTTCAAATTAACTAATTCTACCTCTGCTATTATGACTTGTCCATATTCGGGTTGTAAACTATCCAAACATTGTTTACACTTGATATTTCATTTAATTTTTTGTTTATATAACCGTAAACACAATATTTATATTGAAAATTAATATTTAGCTAACCTGATACATAATTATTTAATAATTAGGTAATCATTGATTACCCAGATACAAAGTACACCACACAATCAAAAACATTAGTCACAATTCTTTAGTCAAATTTTAAGGACAGGACCACGTTAGATGTAACGATGTAGTATATCAGTCAGTGAAGCAGACGAACATGTCATTTGATATTCACTTTACATCGTCTGCATATAGTTATACTGACGGTACAGCTGTATATTGCTTGGCGCACACACTTTTCTTTTTTACTCAAACGTAGCTTATACGATAAATAATCAATTAATGATGCACAGTTTATATTTAAGAAGACCGACTGATGTACATTATAAATCTTGGATACCTCATATTATTGTCATAAGCAATGAACATAAATATAAAGTTATAATAGTATAGTGTATGCTCTGCTATGTGGTTCGTTGATGTACTTTAAATAATAAGAATAATTGTTTACGTTGTCGAACTCTTATGAACAGTTGACCCGACAACTCGCACCGTACAACGGTTTTTACCACTTACAATATTAATAATAAAAAACAATAATAATAGCTTGTATGAATTGTTGATACAGAACGTTGTATGGATCGTCGCAAATAAACAATAATAATAATACGATGAGGACGTCTCCTGCTAATAATAATTAAATAGTAAAAAGAAAAGGTAATACAAAATACACAAAATATAATAATATAATACACGAAAAATAATCAAAACAGGACTTATCACTGCATCCAGTTGTTGTACCAGGACGCGCTAATGGACAGCTGACGGAGCGGCCGTTGACCGACATTCGTCGTATTTATAAACACGGCCGACGTTCGCAGTGGCAGCGAGTGACCGTTGTGGCGGCGGAAAGTGACGGAGTCGACGCTGGCCTATGTGCACCTCCAATTACACAGAAAGAAATATCGTAGTTGAAATTAACAAATTATATTTATTGAATTTTGATAATAATAAATTTGTTAAGTATATCATTACTTAATTAATTATACAAGACTTATGTTGGTTTAAAAACATTTTCTTTGCTCCAATCATACAGTTTTTATAGAATTGATAACGGTTTGATAAATCAATAATTTAAAATTTGTTAAAATGCCTGACCTGGTTTACGAATAATTTAATAATTATTATTATTGTTTTAAATGCAATATCTTAAATCGTAAACAAAGCAAGTTGTCGTGGTCTTTTATGTATAAAAGATAAGGCGGTCTCTCACTCTCGCAAGTGGCGATTTTGTTAAGTTATTTCAGTAACATCTGATATACCATAGGTATATCCATTGAACCATATAATATTAATAAATATGGAAGGGTAGAATGTACCGAGGCAATAATTGCGGTCCGGCTCTCCGTCACCCGCTCATCATTTCGTATCTGGCATAATCTAGTCAATTCTATCATAACGAAAATAAAGAAAAATAGCGACAATGCCTAAAAATAGATTTGGGTTTTTAATTTAGTCACAAATTTCACCGCTCGTATTTATTAAACTCGCTCAATTGTTAACTTATCAGTGTAATAATCAATTTGATAAATTATTTTTGTTGAGTTAAAAGTTTTATAGTTAATCCATAACATGATTATGTTTATTCTGATTTAAACACGTTTACTAAGTTTACTTATATCATTCCGAACGTGGAACGTCCACTCATTTCGACGATCAATTTGGCATTGTGCTTTTAATTTGTACATTGAGTGTGCGAAATATAATTAAATTATTATCCGTACCTGCACTACACATCCAAAGATTAGCGACTACAATATTTGATGGTTCTTTATGCATCTAAGGTAAGTACTTCAATTACATAAAATGATTTGTTTTATTAGTGAATTAAATGTACCTACATTGCCAGCTTTGGTAGGGCATTTCAAAATTATACAATTATTAGGACCATTTAGTACTTACACGTCTAAAGAAAACAAATGCGATAAATCATTTCAAAGTCTAAGTAGTTTTAGAAAACATATCCAAAATAAACATATTTCTATTGAAAATACCGTACATGTAACTGCCCCCCCCCCCTTGGTTGACCTCTGGATCCGCTACTGGTGCTTTGTTAATTTTTTTACTCAAATAGTAGGTGATTTAATACCAGAGCACGATGAAGTTTGGAATTTTTTTTTAAACTTTCTTGAAATAGTTGAAATATTACTAGGACATCAACTTACTCAGCAAGGTACTGTTTCACATTTAAAAAATCTCATAAGTAGACATAATATAGAGTATGTTTTATTTTTCCAAGACAATTTAAAACCCAAACATCATTTATTGACCCATTATCCATCAATTATTCTTAAGCCAGGGCCTCCAAGACATTTTTGGTGCTTTGGCTATGAAGCTAAGCACAAAGTGTTTAAGATGTATGCTAGAGCAATAACATCTAGAAAAAATATTTGTTTAACATTATCTAATAAGTATCAATTCAAATTTGCACACTTCTTATTAAGTCAAAAATATGACTACTCGGAAATCAATACAAGTAAATCACAAAAAGTTAATGCAAATAATTATGATTAATTTATATTCAATCATTTAAATATATCAACTGACAGCTTTGATAGTTATTCAAAAATCAACTTTAAAGGTACAACATACAAAACTGGAAATTACCTAACTAGTTTTATTAATGAAGTATGTTTATATGAAATTCTTGAAATTATCATATTAAAAAATAATGATATATATTTTGTAGTTTAACAAATTTAATTGGAATGGTTTAATTCTCATTTAAGAACATATGAAGTCGATAGAAACAAAGCTGTAATGTCAAAAAGTGTTATGAGTATAAAACAATTTAGTGGACCACCAATAAATGTTATTCAATTTTCTGCTAACAAATTAATGATTCGGCTAAAAGAATATTTTTAAAAATAATCTTCATATTTTATTTCTTTTGGCTATCGCTATTCACAGTCTAAATTGTAATATATAGTTTATTATTATTTTTAATATTTTTATCAAAATGGCAATGTAGGTAATAAGTTTTTATTTAGTTTTTATACATTTAAAACCATTTGAGTACTTAGCTATAGTATAATATAGGGAAATTACAAACTTAAATACCTAAACAGAATTAATTGTTATGCATTTTAAATTAATGCTGTTTTATGTAGACATTTAATCATAAGTCATAATAAATTAATATGTATTTACTAATACCTATAAGATATACAATTATGTATAGTTGTTTTAGATTAGAATATTGTATTTTTACATTTGTATCTAACCTAACATTTATTGTTATAATTATGTATTTAATTTTAAAATATGTTTATTTATTGCAAGGAAACATACTTTGTTCGAAATGCAGAAAATAAATGTCCAAAGGGTAAAATTTATTCTAAGTATTTCAACAAAATGAGGAATTTAAAAAATCATGGTTTAGTTCCTCAAGGTATATGCAAAAAGAGCAACAATAGCAACAAAAATCTCACCAGAGTTTCTGCAGAGTTGGGTGATGAACTAAGTAATGAAAATAACTTGTCAGTTATTAATTTATTAAGATTCTTACACTTGACCATTTTTGTTTATAGTAGTAGAAGAAGATGCTGTTTCCTTAATAAGTCATCTAAAACATAACGATTTGTTATGGCCAGATGTTGAATGCGCTTGGAGGCAAACAGCAGTATACAGGTTAAAAGCATTGAAAAATGCTAATTTTTCATATACAGAAATCCAAACTACTTGGGTCCACTATACTAAACCACTTGGGTATAAGCTGGTGAGTTAAAATTAATTAATTTATGATTCAATATTTCACATATTATTAAATATAATAAATAATATTATTTCGCATGAATTCTATTTTAATAATAATAATAAAATGAATTTGGATTATACTATAAATAGTTTTTGCTAGATTTCAATAAAAGTGTATGAAAATATAAGTACCTATCTATTTAAATTGTATTAAAATAGTATAGTAGAGTATAGGTACATATTAGAATTACTTAACTTGTATACTGCAGTGTGATTAACAATGTTAACTGTGTTTGCCAATATTTATTTAGTTTGAAGTATTCTATATTATTGTCTTTTATAGATTTACATTGATTTTAAATGCCTTTATCAAAATGCAAAAGCCATGCTTAGTGTTTTTGATAATACATCAGCAAAACAGACAAAAATTAAATACTATAGATAGATACGATATTGAGAAATTAGAGGAAGTTAATATACAGAAATATTATAGCAGAAGAATCTGTGAAACTCTTAAAGTACAACATATAACAAATACAAACGATGTGAATGATGTGTGGATCAAAATTAGAAATGCTGTGCAACAAACTGCAAAAATAACAATAGGAATAAAGAAAAAGAGGAAGAAACCCTGGTTTAACAAAATATGTGAAGACGCAGTACAGAGGAGAAAGATAGCCCGAGAGGAATGATTGAAAGGCACTTACAATGAAGAAAGGACTGCAGATTTCAGTAGACGAAGGAAAGAAGCTCACAACATAATAAGATGCGAAAAAAGGAAATATATCCAAAATATTATGAAAGATGCGGAACAGGACTTTAGATTAAATAGAACCCGATATATGTTTAAGAGAGTAAAGGATATAAAAGGAGATTTTAAAAAGAAAGAACTTTTTCTCAAGGATGATGATGGAATGCTGATAACGGCAGAAAAAGAAATAGCTGAAAAATGGAGAGAGTATTTCTACAAACTATTAAATTGTGAAGAACCAACCGAGAAGTTCCCCTTTAATATTGAGAACATAAATACACAAGAATGTACATATCCTACATTGCAGGAAATAAAAGGACAAGTGCATAGATTAAAAAACCACAAA